GAAAACAAAGCAAATAAAAGATGCAAAACAGCTTATGAACATCACACGCAAATATGAAAACGATCATCATCGAAAAGCACACAGGATCAAAGATGTTTTTCCTCGAATAAATATGGAAAATCGGTTAATACATTTGACCCGGATCTTCTCAAACCATCCGGACAAATACCGGAGCAAGGACAAACTGTTAAAGTATTTTCTAAATGTCAAGGCTCCAAAAATAGCCCATCCGTTTTGATTTACGATCGAAATCACCAATATCCTGGAATAATATTTCAATGTAATTTGGATTCTATTCAATATGACTTATATGGTTCGAAGTATATTTATGTTATTGATCACAACTTGTTCTATGATCACTGATTTATTGTTATTATGATTCTAATGCTTCTTTAACAAAATGTTAGCATTGGTTATTTTGAATTTATCGTCTAGACTACGGTTGTTAAGTTTGACGCGTTCAATTTCATTATTACTGTATCTATTATGGCTCATCAAAGATTCCGCATTATTTTTTGATTTATGAAATTATATTTTGTTTCCTTACAAGATTATTATTAAATAATATATGTTTTTTTCTTTATCTTTCGTCTCTTCAACTCTTCGCTTATTAAACAAAAACAGTAGTATGTATTTTAGTAACATGTTTAAATTATCTCCTTCCATCATTAATATTATTTATTTTGCTTTTACATCAAGTGTTTGCAATACTTTGATAGCTCTATTAACCTTTGAAGTTATTCTTCACCATTAACTCAGGTATTTGAATGAAGTCTGTTCGTGCTTAATTTCTGCTGGGTCATCTACTGCGACCACAAGGACGATACCTTTTATAGGATCTGTGGGTTTTAGTTCATCATTATTTAAATCATTCACATTACCTACAAATCTTGTTGTCGTCTGGTGATAAAAAATGTTCTATGAGACTTACAAATTGAGAAAAAATCTTGCATGAAATTGATTCAATTAACACTGGTAGGCTTGAAGAAAATATCGTTATGTTCTGCCTACATAAGAATACCCATAAAATGGCATACATCATTTTTATAGAAAAAATCAATCAGCCAGAACAAAAGAGGCAAATTAATGCTGTAGGATCAACCCAAAAAATGACCATACAGGATGTTAAACCCCAAACCTGAATGTAAAATTTACTGTCATATTAAAAATAATTACTGTACAAGAGGTCCTCATTACTCTCGCAAAAGCTTACGTTATAAGTTACGCAAGCAAACCAACTGGACAAGCCATGTATGGAGAGATGACACCAAAAGACAATAAAATTGGTTTCGATTGAATTTTGTTGAGTGTGAATGATTTTAGTGTTATGAAGAGACAGAATAGGGCCAAGGTGTGTGTTTTTGATCTGCAGAGGATGACTAAAAAGGCAAATAGACAGTGCAGGAGAGATTTTGAAAGGAGAGAGGTTAGATATAAATGCGAAAAGAATTCATTTCTGACTGACGAAGAATCGACTGACTTCAAAATTTCGTAGCTGGACTTAACTCGTTTCGAAATATTCAATTTAATCAAAAATATCTATATAGCAAATTTACGATTCCAGTTCCATCAGATGAATACAAATTAAACTCGAAGTATATAGGTATACCAAACCATTAAAATTCTAGTTATCTTAAATGTGTCCTAACATCACATTATAAAGTAGTTAAGTTAAAACCTAATGATCGTTTAACTTAAACCTTGACTACAGGTAATCTTTCACCAGTTTCTGGTCAAACTGGTTGGTGTTAACTTAGCTTAAGTTAACTTATTGTTGCTGCTCTTTATGTTAGAATTAACAAACAGATTTGGGACTTAAGTTTGAATTGAATAGGGAGAGTGGGTTGTGTGTTGTTTGTTTAGACTTATTTCTAACTTATATTTTACTTAACACAAGAACACAACAAGATCTGCTAAATTCTAAGAAGTAAGATATCTAATATCGTCACCTTGTTAAGTAATTATATTATGGATCCTAGAATGGCTTGGTAGTAAAATAATGATATAATATATTTTGGGGCAAGAGTTCGTAGGAGGTAATAATTTTATCAACACCGTGCCTCCAATTCAATTACAGAAATCAATACTGGTAATAAAATAGCAGATGTAATCTCCTGAACAGTTTATGTTTCAAGTTTCCTTAACACGGTAACCAATATCGTCTCAATGTTGCATTTAAATTGATTGCCATTTTAAATCTTAAAATGTCATGTATTTTATTTACTTTTCTTAACTCGTTATCATTCTTTCAACATTTCTACTTTTATTATACTAACCTTTATTGCCATTTTTAGGCATTTAAAATTCAAAGACAAGTCAAACAGATAAGCTACAGATGTCCTGAATTTGACTTCATAATAGTACCGACCAAAACTAAATCAATTCAATGTAAAGTAATTGATTCAGAAGGCTTAATGAAACACGAAATTGTTAAATACATTATAAACAATTAGGAGGTAACACTTTAACAGCATAATAGATTAGCCAAGCCAATTACAATCGTAACCGACCAACCCGGGAGGCATGAATGATATTTAAGAATATTGCTGATATGATTCCGGTAAACGCAACCTAAAGGTGAAGGTCACAGAGCATCGAATTACATGGAAGGGTAATTAGCATGGAACCCTCAGGCAGTATGATGACAGATTATTTTTAGGTATTAACAAATTAAAATATATTGCTTAGCCGAACAAAGAATAAAGATATAACTTGAATTAGGAGATGGTATCGATAGAGCAAAATATGACATAACTTTTCTGTCAACAGAATAGAAATAATGCTAGGTGAGAATTTATGAAATAACTTCCATAAATTATGTTTTGTAAAGTATTGTTGTTTAATTTAGCGTTGCAACGATAGGTGTCCATGATGACACCGTTGCTCCGCTATGCTATTTCATACAACACAAACGTAAATATTAAACAAAGAAAAGTTTTGTGCATTACAAAAAATTGCACAGAATATTAGCCTAACGTTCATGATCATTTTACTAATAAATGTAACATTTAACACATCCTCCCTTTCACCAATTACAAAACGAGTTTGCACAATATAAATAACTATTACACGTACTTCAAAAATATTATCAGCTCAAATTAAATTTTGGTTAAAAAACAAATCATCGATCACGGCTCCCTACAATTTAATATTGACAACATCTAATTTATAAATGTTAAGAAATAGGTTGCAAACAATGGAGTCTCCATCACCTTCAATGATTTTAGTATTACTGTGATTTAAGGGTCACTTGACACCAATCCGTCTAGTTGTTGCATTACCAATGTTAAGCACTTCTATCGTAAATGGTTTAATATTCAATAGTTTCATTGTCCTCAAGTTTCATTTTGGCTATAAGTTATGTTTCAAGTTGTATCATTATTTTTGTTTTTCCATCCTGCATAACTTTATCTTCATTTAAAGTGTCTTTATCTTTGATTATTTGTTTTCTTGATATGTTTGAGTATTATTTGAGTGTTTTATTGACATCTGTCTCGTCTTTGTCTACCCTGACTTGGAGATTAACATCAAGGTTATGTAGCTTAATATTGTCTGTCTTACTTTTGATTGGTTTAACAAATCTAGCTATTTCATCTGATTCACGATCGGTTGTATAATGAACTACAGTATGAACTACTGGGTGTGTATAATACACAACAATATTTCGAATTTTTGCACTAGTTTATAGATACAAATATTGTGTTAGTAAATATTGTAAGGACAATTTCACTCAGTCTTCCAATTACAGTGCGGGTTGTTAGTATCGTATTACCTTCAGTATAGAACAGTGTGAAACATTTTTTAAGGAGTTGTATTTGAACTATGTAAGTACGTACTAAACTTGTTTGATTTCACATAGTTTAATAAAGAAGTAAAAATTCCTTGTATAATTTTCCAGTTTCGTATTTTGTACAAAATAACCCTGATATAGGTTTTTGACCTATTCTGTTTGACCAACGGAAATCAGATTAATGTTGATTGAATTTGATAATGATGAAATGAATAGATCATTGGAATTAAGAAATGTCGTTTGCTTGCACAATACTTAACTTTGCATCACTGTATTACGGTATAGTTTACTTTAAATTACTTCAGTGTTGTTTATTGAGTTTATTGGCTTTAAATTAATTACCTCATAGTGGAACGCCCAATGTTTGTTAAATGTTCGTGTATTGTAACAAATATTGGTGATTTGATTTCACACCCTTGAAGTTAAATTGATTTGGATGTTAATTATGGAAGTACCTATACTTGATTTCCTGGTTTGTAGAAGTCTCAAAAAAGGGTCAACCATGACCTAATTCATGTCTTGGTAATCGTGACCACTGTATTGATTTATGGAATTTTCTGAAAAATCTTCTAAATATTATACAACTTGTTACTTATCTACCTCTAGTACCTAAAACAGATGTCCCAATTCAGAGCACAAAGGGCCTGCAAGCATTACATCGACCTACATGACATTTTTCTCAACCACTTGGTCAACGTATTGCGATCTGTTTCCAATCGATTCGCGTCGCCTGTTTAGAACATGTTCTTTTATCTTAATGGGACAAGTCAGTCCCCAAACAAATGCTGAAACTGGCACAGTTGCTGTTGTAACCTATGCAAGTTGCTGGTCAAGTTGAAATCAACAATGGTGTGGAATTTCTAACTTGAATGATTACTTTACTTATAAAGTTGTTACTTGGGTGTTATTATGTGTCGCTTCAGTATAGTATTCATAGAAGATATGGAATTAGGATAATCTACTTTAATATGTAATATAGAAAAGACTTTACAATCTTTATTTTGAAGATCCGATTTAAATTGATATCTTACTACCTACAAGACATCTAAGACAACATTATCTGTTCTAGTATGTCTACAGTGTTTACCTATTTGCAAAAATAAAGGAAGACCTAGAAATTCCATCGCTCGCATGATTTAATTTATCACCAGTAGCTCAAGTTGTATTTACTAAGTGTCGTAACCAGGGGTCAGAGCTGACTGTTTGTATCTTAGGTAAATAATTGCTTAGCCAGTGTCATGTGACCTTCGATGGCATTTGTTAATTTTTGTGTGTCATCTGCTAATGTGTATGACCTAGGGATCGCTGGCGGTTCAGTATTTGTATCAGCTGTGTTACCTTCGAGTTGTTTATCGATTTCATCTATATTTTTATTTAAAATATTAATTTTAAGGTTATTGTTAAGTGCTTTATCAAATATACGTTCTAGGATGATTTTAGTATATGTTTGTACTATGTCAAAACTTCCGAACACGTTGGTGATGAGGAAATCTATGTTTTAATAATCATGTTCCCTTACAGTTTTCTGCTGTATTATCGAACTAAGTACATTTATATGACGTAAAACAACTATATTTTAGTTCGTCATGTTTTAAAAATGGCTAGGGGACTAGACCAAACAAAGACATTTAACATAGATAGGTATTAGCTGTACGTTTGTAACCTACTTACAAATAGTTGTGTGGACCACACGTGCTCATTACAATTCCCTCAATGGACAAAGTAAATATGTTATGTAAAACACGCATGTGCGAAATAATGGTTCTTTTTTTTACAAACTCATTTTAATATTCTACAATTACCGTATTTAGAAAAAAAACTGCTCTACTTTTTGTTATACTATTTTAAATAACTTCTAATGGCTTCACGTCAAAACAACAAATACGTACAAACTTTCTCTACTTTACGTCTACTTAAAAGCCCTAAATTCAGAACGCTGCTTAATTATAATTACTCAAAAACCGAGTCATTTACCAAAATTTATGAATATTACTCAATAATCATAGAAAAACATAAATTAACTTTGTCCTAATACACGTAAAACCAGTCTAATCGTCAAAGGTGAACAGATTATCTATAATTCTTAGTAGGCCTCCGATTACCATCGGATTTTAATATGCATACCTAGTGTATCTCATATTAACAGTTAAACTTAATGGAGGTAAAGTGCTAAGCGACAAATAACCACGAACCATATACTAAGACTATCATACATCGGTTTTGCATTAGGGAAATTTTAAATGTGTTGAACAACCTAATGGTCTAATGAAGAAGATTACCTAATAAGTTTTATCCTTTCAAATGAAATTAAACTTAGGGCCTGTGTAATTAAGGTACAATTATTTACCTAACAAAAAAAGTATTTAAGAACATTTCATATAGGATATATATACCTACGTTAAAGTAAAGTAAGTGCCTTGTAGGTTACTAAAATACAGTTTACGTATGTATTATACCACCTCTGTAAACGTTTGTGTACATATTTAGATAAATATCATAAATCGTAATTCTCAAATTTACAATCAGTACAAAATCTATCGCTTGATCTTTATCATAGACTGTTAGTATTAGCATATAATTAATATTACATCCTCTATTACCATGCCAAACTATTGTTACGCTGGAAAGAGTAATTATCCTCCTACTGATGCCGACACGAGATCCAATTTATTGATGTTTTTGATGCTTGAATGAACTGCCGAAATTTAATGTAGCTATTATAGGTAGTTCTTTATCTAAAAAGGGCTTATGAGTCACTGAAATACGGTACAGGTAAAATAACTTACATAGAATGTTTTTAATTGCTGAATAATCTATATTACTAATTTCGTCAAGGGGTACGGTAGACTCGATCGAAAAATTACCTGAATAACAAAATATAAAATAAAATCGATTTCGACTCAACAACATGTATTATTATATTCTACTCTTACTCTAAACTACCTGGAGTAGACTCTATTGCTGTCTATAAAACACAATATGTAACTCTTTTTCTATTTTCCTCTTTCCTCTTTTACACAATTCGGAAGATTTATTGTTCCAGCTTGAATTCAATAATGAATAGAGACGAGTTTGCCTTACAACAAATACTACAAAATGACATTAATAAAATTACATAAATTCGCAATTCTGCAATTAGAGGTAAATACATATAACAAGTTAACGAATAAAATGAAGGACAAGTGATCATTACGCATAATAACCAATCAACGAACAAAAACACTACGACATGAGTGTGTTGACTTAATTAAATCATTGTTTGTGACAAAATGCTTCATCAATGTCATTGTGTGGTACAAGTTAGAAGGTTGAGGCGTTTACTTTGAATTGAGATAATTTAGATAATTATTTATTAGATACTAATTAATAAATGTTATAAATATTTAAATTTTATGCTTAAATTATAATCATGATTTAAATAAGATTGACGAATGTATATAAAGTTAAATATCATATTAGAATCTTGTTAATAACGTTCCGTCACGTCGTCCTCTTATCAAACCTAACTGTATATACCATAGGGATAATGTGTGTGTATAAATAATTAATTATTTTTTAATAAGATTCAACTGACAAACTGAAAACTATTTTTAGTTATATCTCAAAGACAGCTTTTATAAAAAGTGATCAATTAGTTCCATGTAATGATGTCGTTAAATACATTTTCCTTTTAATACGAGTCAATAAAAATAAATCAGATGAAACATAATCTCTTCTTGATAAGATAAATAAAACTTTATGTTCTTTTAATAAGCCATTTACCCTTGAAAAGAACAACTGTCGTCTCTTCACTACTCGATTTTACAAATTCACGAGCAACAAAAAGCCTACTTAATTTCCCAACACGAAATCAACCCGAATAATAAATTGATTAATTTAAAACAAAACTTGGTAATAAATCCATAAAATTTAACGGCAGTTGACGAAAGCCTTTACCTTGGACCAAACGACATACGAGTTGAAATTCTACAAGAGCCAACCGGAACGCCTTGAGCTTCTTCGAACGAAATATGTTTCATTGACGTATAAGCGAACAGTCGTAAATACCATTCAGATGGTAATCATTTAATCCAATTTAGTATAAAAAAGTTATTTTCTGATACTTATGCTATTGATGTATCGTGCATGGCACCGAACTACCAATCTGGCGCCTGTATTAACGAACAATGCAAAGTGTTGTCTTTGGTTACATTGCTATATGTTTTCTGAACGTATTAGTAAAGAGAATTCGCTGCTCTGTTGTGAGGAAAGTATACTTAGACCAGATATACATTATATTACATTTGATAGTTCAATAAGCTACACGTAACTAAACATCTCAAGAAATTTACAAATATAAATGTATCCTTTCCTATACAAAGCAATACACAAAACAAAATGCAGTCGCGACTTAGTCTCAACCATTATAACCTAACCTAACGGGTAACCGGGGCTCCGGCTCGACGTGCAGGAGAAGGAACGGGGTGGTTTTTAGTCAGTAAGAGTCTGACACTCCCTCCC